CAGGTCAGTTTTTGACTCCTGGCAACTGCTGGACAAGTCTGCAGTTTTCTTGGCAAGGTTTTTCAGAAGTGGTTTGCCATTGACTCCTTCCCAGGGCTGAGAGAGAGTGACTTGCCCAAGGTCACCCACTTGGCTTTGTGCATTAGGTCACATTGTACCCAACTGGCTCTTTTTGAAATGACCATTAAACAAATAATAAAAAGGAAATGGTATTAAGTGTATGAGTTTTAATTAAAAATATTGAACATGTATTGAACATATTTATGTTTCTAATTTTAATTTTGTCACAGTGCACCCAATTTTGCAGTAGTTACCCTCAGCGGATTATTTAAAGCGCAACCTGATGTACCTCCCAAACAAAACTGGCCATCCTCATTTAAAGATCAGAGATAATCCAAATGCATTTTATTGCTGTATATATTTGCAGGGATGAGGGCAAGTCCTTTAATCTAATGATAGAGATCCTAACTTGCATAGCACAGCTAGCAAAACTGGGCCTTGTATAAGCTGCTGACATACCAGTCAAAATGTGCCCAAACTGACTTGTAATATGTCCTTAGCATTAGCAAGTAATGCTGCATGTGGTATTATAGCTAAAACTGGTAACCTCATCTCCTCTTTCTGTATCTTTCTATAAAACATTAAGAGCCTCAGGTAATCAAAGGCATGATGGGCACTGGAGTCAATATTCATGGGCTGATCTGGTGACGATGCATATAGCAGATTGGGACTTGGAATGTAAGAGAAAATGTACACATGTAAAGAGCACGAATGATAAATGAACTGAAAGAAACAAATACAAAGTTATGTTTTGAAACTAAGATAAGGGTAGTATATAATATACTGTAATCTAATGAAGGTCATCTGATCTTATGCAACGGAGTTGAATACATGCATAGAAGAAGTAGGTTTAAATTAGAATGAGAGTCTGTGTCAGAAAGTATGAATTAATGTCTTCTATTTGTTCTCACTATTCATACATTGGTGATATTTGCATGTTATACACTTTTATGTGACAATTAAAGAACTAAAGATTATTTTTCCTAGTAAGTGTAAATGAATGGGATATAGAGATAAACATTACTAAATTAGGTGACATGAATGGATGGGTAAGAACAAGACTCCAGAATGAGTGAGGATGATGATTTGGGAGTATCTCCTTAAGAAAATGTCTGTTTTGAATATGTGGTTTAAACATGTATAAACACAGCAACCCATCCCACCCGGTCAGGCAGAGAGGGCATGTTGTGGGTCCTGTCAGTGAGAGAATGTCAACTGGCAGGGCCCAGGAGGAGAGCCTTCTCTGCCGTTGCTCCCGCCCTTTGGAACATTCTCCCCCCAGAAGTGCTGCAGGCCCCTACCCTACCAGCCTTCTGGAAAAAATTGAAGATCTGGCTCTACCAGCTTGTGTGGGGGGGATAACAACTTTACCCAATCCTGGGGGTGGCTAGCACCTCAATGATGCTGCCTGAGTGATTGCCAATTATTTTGGATCTTTTAATTTTTTTATTTATTATTGTAACTTTGTAATTTTAGTTGATTTTCATTCTTTTGTAAACTGCCCAGAGTTGTTCAACGAGATGGGTGGTGACAAATTTGATAAATAAATAAATAAATAATCAGGAATGTACAGGTGATACATGAATGTAGATTGAATATAAATATGAATGACAAACATGGGGAAAAATGTTGAATTGGTTTGGTCCTATAGAAAGGATGAAGGAAGGCAGAATTGCAAAACAAAGAATGAAAGAATAATGAAAGGGTTGAGAGAGAGAAGATGACAGAGAAATATGTGATTCAGTTGAATTGATAAGAGGTCTAAAGAACAAAAACCAATATGTGAATTTGCATATGGGCATGAAGAAACAAGGATGGTTTGCAGGAATTGAAAGGCATGGAGTTTATAGTGAACAATGTTGGAATAAATTAGTAGTTAGATTTCCTTTCCTTTTCTCTTCCATCTTTAATTTATTTTGCTAACTCCAGAATGGAATAATGTATTGGTTGACAACTGAGGGAGAAAGGCTTTAAGGAAGGGGGACTGATTGGTTTACTTGGCCTGAACATGGAGAAGACTTAGATGCAAAGAATAACAAGTTGGAACCAGAGACTGGATATTAAGTGTTCAGAGAAAACAGAAGGAATAGGATAGGTATAGTTTTGCAAAAAGACAACGGAGGGAAATAAAACGGTGGAACCACTTAGTGAGAAACATGGCAAGCTCCCCTTCAATTCATATGTTAAAGAAGAGGCTGGACAAGCATCTATTGGGGATACTTTAATTTGGATTCTAGTTAATGGTTTAATTAAATAAATCCAACTCTGTGATTCTTTGAATGCAAGAACAGAGATACCTGGAGAAGCACCTTAACAAGTAAAAAAAAACTTTATAAACAATTGTTTTAATTAATTAAATTATTAATTAAATAATTATTAAATTATTAAATTAATTTTATTTACTTGTTTTTATTTATTTTATTTATTTAGGTCCATAGTAGTGAAAAGGTGTTATCTTGTTAAATAGAACAGAGAAGAAAATTTACAAATTGAAATTAGTTAGACATTTGAGAATAAACATTTGAATTGTTTACTTGATTCAACATATTATTGTGCTTTTACCCATTCAGAAGTTTTAGTTCAAGCATTTCTTAACTGCATAGTAAGAGTAAAAACCAGTTTATACATAGGATTTCCTTAGTTGGACTCTGACATATAATTTTTATTTATTTATTTATTGAAATTTTACTTCATACTTGTTCATAGAGAACAGCCTACATATCTTGAATACTGTCATTCAAACAGTAAGAGCTAAATAGAAGAGTTTCCATTTAATTTAGAAAAGTTTCTAAATTAAAAGATTTAGATTTAAAAGCTTCCATTTAATTTTCCCAAGACAATTTTAATATCAAGGACATGTTCTGAAATGCAGTTAAATCATAATATATCATAGTTTCTATAAATATATATATTACTGTGAAGTCATCTTTGGATGACAAAATGAAATTCTACTGTCATTGCTAAAGAAGCATACTTAGTTGTAGAAAACAGTATAATGTATGTAGCAAATAATAAAATTACAAAATAATATTACAAGAATACAAAATGAAATGTATGATAAGGCTGGGTAATTAGAACTTGATCTAAACTGTATATCAGATAAGTATAAAAAATCTCTAAATTAAAACATCCGTATGGGTGGTAAATGTATATTAAGGTACTTGGTTTTTTTTCCAGAACTCGTTAAGAAACCAAATGAATCAAATATGTATAGGTTTGTCAGTTATTACTGATGAAAACATCATGAGATTTATAAACATTAATCAAGCCGCTTAACCTAATTTATTTCTTTTTGGAATTTCAGTCTTCTACATCTCTGTTACCCTTTATTTTTTCAAATTGCTGAAAGGCACAAAAAGTTCTCCGATTTATTCAAGCTG